TCTCTCTGTGTCAAATAAATAAATAAAATCTTAAAAAAAAAAAAAAGTTCTAGAAAGGAAATTCATGGTGATAAAAAAATGAAAGGTCTCAAAGACCTAGCTTTAAACATCAAACAGCTAGAAAAAGAAACAAATAAACCTTGGGGTGCCTGGGTGGCTCAGTAGTTTAAGGCCTCTGCCTTTGGCTCAGGTCATGATCTCACGGTCCTGGGATCAAGTACCACATCGGGCTCCCTGCTCAGCGGGGAGCCTGCTTCCCTCTCTCTCTCTCTGCCTGCCTCTCTACCTACTTGTGATCTCTGTCAAATAAATAAATAAAATCTTAAAAAAAAAAAAAGAAAGAAAGAAACCTAAAGTTAGCAGAAGAAAGGAGTTAACAAAGATCAGAGCAGCAATAAATGAAATAAACATCAGGAAAACAAAAGAAAAGATCAAAGAAACTAAGATTGTTTTCTGAAAAGACAGTCAAAATTGGCAAAACTTTAGGTAGGCTAAAAGAAAAGGGGGGGGAATTCATACAAATTAAAATCAGAAACGGAAGAGGAAACATGGGCAGCACAGAAATACAAAGGCATTTTTATTTCTACTCTGAGACTACTAGAGACTACCACGAATGATCACATGCCAGTAAACTGGATAACCTAGAAGAAATTGGTAAATTTGTAGAAACATACAACCAAGTAAGACCGAACTGTGAATAAATTAAAAAATCTGAACAAACCAATAATGAGTAAGAACGATGAAAGAAAAACCCAGGACCTGATGATTTTACTGGTGAATTCTACCTAACGTTTTAAAAAAGAATTATACAAATCCTTTTCAAACTCTTCTAAAAAACGGAAGAGGAGGAGATCTTTCCGAACTCATTTTATGTGGCCAGCATTACACTAATACCACAGCCACACAAGGAGCACCAAAAGCAAAAATGAACAAGTGGACTACATCAAACTTACTTCTAAATAGCAAAGGAAACCATCAACAAAATAAAAAGGAAACCAATGGATGGGAGAAAATATTCACCAATCATTTATCTGATAAGGGATTAAGATTAAAAATATACTTTCTTTTTGGGGCGCCTGGGTGACTCAGTGGGTTGAGCCTCTGCCTTCGGCTCGGGTCATGATCCCAGGGTCCTGGGATCAAGCCCCGCGTCGGACTCTCTGCTCGGCAGGGAGCCTGCTTCCCCCTCTTTCTCTGCCTGCCTCTCCGCCTACTTGTGATCTCTGTCAAATAAATAAATAAAATCTTTAAAATATATATATTTTTTTCTTTATTTTTAAAAAGATTTTATTTATTTATTTGAGAGAGATAGATACTGAAAGAGACCATGAGTGGGGAGGTCGGAGGGTGGAGAGGGAGAAGCAGGTTCCCCACCAAGCAGGGAGCCCAACATGGGGCTCAAACCCAGGACCCCGAGATCGTGATCTGAGCTGATGGCAGATGCTTAACCGACTAAGCCACCCAGGTGGCCCAAAAATGTATGTTAAAAATTCATAAACTCAATAGCAAACAAATAATCCAATTTTTAAAATGGGCAAAGGATCTGAATAGACATTTTTTCCAAAGAAGACATATAGATGGCCAACAGGTACATGAAAAGGTGCAACATCATAAATTATCAGGGAAATGCAAATAAAAAACACAGTGAGAGATCAACTTGCATCTACTAGAATGGCTGTTATTCAAAAAATAAGAAATAACAAGATCTGGCAAGGATGTGGATAAAAGGCAATATTTGTGCACTGTTGGTGGAAATGTAAATTGATGTAGCCACTTTGGAAAAGAGCAAGGAGTTTCCTCAAAAAATTAAAAAACAGAACTACCACAGGTTTTCAGCAATTCCACTTCTGAGTACTTATCCAAAGAAAACAAAAACAGTGAACTGTGAAGATATATGCATTTCCATGTTTTGTGCAGCAGTATTCACAAGGCATGGAAGCAACCTAAATGTCCACTGATGGACAAACAGATGAAGAAACTGTGGGGTATATGTACATGGAATATTACTGAGCCACTGAAATGAAGTATACCTTGTCATTTCCAACAACATTGATGGACCCTGAGGGAATTATGCTAAGTGAAATAAGTAAAAGAAAGACAAATACTGTAAGGATCTCACTTACATTTGGAATCTAAAAATAAAAACAAACCAAAAATGAAACAAAACTGAACTCAGAGAATAGATTGGTGGTTCCAAGAGGCAGGGGTGCAGAGCAAGTTAAGGGGTAAATAAAGGTGATCTACAGGTACAAACCTCTAGTTATATAATAAGTCTGTCTTAGGGGTATGATGTACAGTACAAGGACTACAGTTAATGAGACCATACTATACATTTAAAATGAATGTATAAGAGAGAATCGCTCTTAAAATTTCTAATCACAAGAAAAAAATTCTGTAATTCTGTAATTATGTGTACTGCTGGGAGTTAACTGGACTTCCTGTGCTGATCATTTCACGAAATATGCAAATACTGAATTACTATGTGTATACCTAAAACTAATATAATGTATGTCAATTATATCTCAGTAAGAAAACAAAAGAACAAAAACCAAGGCAGTAAAAATAAAGAGGAAGAAAACCAAAGGCCAATATCCCTCATGTATATAGATGCAAAAATGCGTAGCGAAATACTAGGAATAAAATTCAGTAATATGTAAAAATAATTACACACCATGACCAGTAATGCGTATATTTTACGGATATAAATTTGGTTCAATATTTCAAAATCAACCAATCTATCCACCATATTAACAGGTTAACTACAGGAAAAAAAAAATCACATATTCCTATCAATAAATGCAAAAAGAATATTCGACAAATTTCAACAACCATTTGCAATAAAAACCCTTAGAAATATAGGACTAGATGGGAACTTCTTACTTGGTAAAGTGTCAGTGAAAAACCTGTAGCTAATATTGCACGTGACAGTGAAAGATTGAATTGAATGCTACCCCTCTCTCAGGAAGCCAGGATGTCTGTTCTCACCCTCTTCTTCAACATAGTGCTGCAAATTCTAGCCAGTGTAATAAAAGGAAATAAAAAGCATACACATCAAACAGGCAAAAATACAACTGTTACTATTTGCAGATGCATGATGATCAGCATAGAAAATCCTAAAGAATCAATTAAAAAAGACAAACCCTCTTCGAGCTAATAAGTAAGATGGGCTTATGAAGAAGTCATCCCAAACCATTTAACCTCTTTAAAGATAAATCACTGACCACCCCGGCTGGTCTTGTGCTCTGCTGCCTTTTCAATGTCAAAGAACTCTAACACATTCACTGCTATTGATGAATTGTTCATAGCAAAGCAAAGGATTCTGCTTATCATATTCCTAACCTAACTTAATTTTAGAAAGATAAAGCTACAGAAATCTGATAAAGAGGTATCTCTTAGGAAGACAGCCACTTTAAAAATAATAGCATAAATAATCAAATTTAAGAGCTCCATGTGTATTTAACACAAGCCAAGTATTAACATGGCATTTTAAATAGTCCTTTTTATAAAAGACCCTATATGAAATTCTTCCTTCTCCTTCACTTATTTTGGTCTTAAATGGTATTTCTGGAGGTCTGACAATCCTAGCTCAACTAGTACCTTTTTCTCTTTCCTTATACTTAGGTAAGGTGCCGTGCCTCTAACCACTACAAAAGGCTCCCGTTACACTGACTGAAAAAGCCAAAAACCTTGTAACGGTTGGTGAGACTCTAGAGATCAGGCCACAAGCTCTCTCCAACCCTTTATTTCTCTGGCCTCACCCTCCTCTACTCTCCTCTGCTTGTTCTTCCTGCTCCAGCCATACTGTCCTCTGGGTCCTAACTGCACTCTTGAGGCAGATACTGACTTCAGGGCCTTTGCACTGGCCGGTCCCTCTACCTGGGACATGTATTTCGCATTTAACTGCATAGCTAAGCCCTTACCTTCTTCAAGTTTTTGTTCACATGTTACCTCTCTCCTCAATGAGGCTTACACCCACACCACCCTACCTAAAATTGCAGAATTTATACTTATACTTCTGACCCACTCTGCTTTATTCTTCTCTATGTCTAAGTACTTTACTCCTTCTCATATGCTGTATCATTTACAAAGTTATACAATTATTGTTTGATGTCTGTTGTGTGCCTTCCACCCCAGCAAAACAAAGGTTTTATTAATTTTGTTTGGTACTGCCTCCCAAGAGACTAAAACAATACCTGGCACACACCAGATGCCCAATAAATATTTGATGAAGGAACATAAGAAACACATGAATGGATGTAATAGGCATAGCAACCGTTGTTCAAATTAATTTTAATTAAATCTCATCAATATGCTGAAAGGAACTGTTACGAAGAAAATAAATTTTCACATGCCTTGATGTCTGCATACATGTGGTTCCCTTATCGACACTGTCCTTCTTCCTCACTCCTAACGCTCCTTCCCCTACTCACATATATGTTCAGCCAGAGAGATTCCAACTAAATGTCACAAACGAACAGGTCTTCCAAACATCATCTCTGTTAACTTCAACCATGGTTCGGTGCCCCTCCTAAATGTACCTATGCTTCTTTTTCTCACAGCCTTTCCACATGTATAGCAAACCTGTATTTTCACCAGACCAAAATGTGAGCTCCCTGGAAGCAGAAACATGTTTTGTTTTTGTTTTTGTTTTTGAGAGAGAGAGAGACAGAGCGCATTTGGGGGGTAGGGGGGCTGGAGGAGTTGGGGAACAGAGGGAGGAGAGAGAATCTCAAGCAGACTCCCCACTGAGCACAGAGCCCCACACAGGGCTCGATCCCACGACCCTGAGATCATGACCTGAGCTGGATCAAGAGTCAGATGCTTCACCAACTGAGCCCCCCAGGCGCCCCCAGCAGAAACCATTCTTACTTGCTCTTCCCTCACGGCTCTGAAGCTCACATCATGTAACACATGACAGGCACTGTCAAATGTTTTGTGTCGATAAGACATTTTTTTAAAAAACTACTAAGTTGAATTAATAGTGAATTACAGAAATTTACCTCTTACTTGTTTCCTCAGTTTTTCAATTTCTTCCTTTAAGGTTTTTATTTCTAAATCTTTGCTTGCTGTTAGTGGACCATCAGCAGTTGAATACTGTAGAGCTTGAACAGTCTGTGTTGACTCTTAAAAAGAGAGAATGAAAGAAAAAAATGAGAAATATGGCCATATTTTAAATTTTTAAAGCTAAGAGCAATGCATTTCTTTCTAGAGAAATCCTTATATAATTCTGATCAAAACATCTACCTAGCAACAAAAAGCATGCAAACACATCACAATTAAGTCTCAAAATTACGATGCATGTTTCTTTAAAAGTGTAACAGATGTAGGAGAGGCTCTGCCTACTACCATGTGAGATTTTCCGTCTCAAACACTGCTGGTGAATTCTACCAGTGAGTCAATAACCGTTCAGCCCCCATTCATTCTAGTAGGAAGCGTCATTGTGTGATAACCCCAAAAACTTCCTGTGTCAGATGATGCATTAAAAACAGAGTCTGGTGTGTCAAGGGAGGTTTAGAGATGTTATTATAGTTGACCTTGAACAATGCAGGGGTGGGGTGTTCGGGGGCCCTGAGCCCCCCTCCCAATGCAGTTGAAAATCTGTGTACAACTTCTGACCCAAAAACTTAACAACTGAGTTACAACTGAGTCCTGTTGGCCAGAAACCTTACCAATTACATAACAGTTGACTGACACATACTTTGTATGCTGTATGTATTATACACTGTATTCTCACAATCAGGCAAGCTGAAAAGAAGGAAATGTTTCAGAGAAAATCATAAGGAAGAGAAAACACATTGTCTGTACTGTATTTATTAAAAAAAAAAAAAAATCCACAAGACCCTCCCAGTTCAAACCCACATTGTTTCAAGGGTCAAGTGTATATGATATACAGAAATGCTGGCCTCCAAATTTTAGTTATGAAAGTTGAGGCCCACCTATAGATGATTTTGGCTCACTGATTTTATTCAAATAGAGATTATTCTTGTGGTTCTAATCAGAAGATGCAAGGTATTCAAGAAACATTAACTCTACTAAGGTTTAGTCCTAGATATTATCAGAAGATACAGAAAAAAAGAAAACTTTACAGAATTTTATCAGAAATGAACCACCTTTGTCCTAAAATAGTTACTGTGCTATCTTATGGAGGTCTGAAATAATAAGCCTCTACCTTAATTACCTCACCATAATTTTTGGTTAGTGCCAATCATTACTTATTGCTTTATACTACTTACATTATTTATATATTGTCTTAGTGTAACCTATATTATTGCTTACATACCATATTATTACTATATGTATTACTGATGTTTAATATATGTGTGTACATGTGTATATGTGTGTGTGTGTGTGGGCACACACACATATATACACATAATTCCAGCAGACAAGTAATGCGCATTTTAGTAGACTGGGATTTACAGGATGGACAGAAGTAGCAAACATACACACACAGAGTTCCAAAATACTGTGGCCTTCAGAGGAGGGAGATTTTCTAATTAATTTTCACCATTTGTACAGAGAATAGTATCATGATCATTGTATGCATAAATATTGGTTAATTTGAATTAAAGGTGTACGATATACTTATGGTGTATCCAACCATGATCTTATACATCCAATAACTACTTCTTAGTCTTTTCTTTTTGGGTTCAAAACATGGTAAATATCAATACATTCTGTACTTACTATTTTTAAAAGAATATCCTTTATTTGTTTTAAAAAATTATCTAAGAGGGCACCTGGGTGGCTCAGTAAGTTAAACGACTTAACTCTTGATTTCGGTTCAAGTCGTGACCTCAGGGTGGTAAGACTGAGCCCCGCACATGTGGGGCTCATGTTCAGTGCTGAGTCTGCTTAAGATTCTCTCTCTCCCCCTCCCTCTACCCCTCCCTCCACCACACTCACACACGCACATATACACATGCTCTCTCTCAAAACACACACACACACACACACACACACACACACACACACACACACATTAGAAAGATATCTAAGTTAGAAAAAGAAAAAAGAAAACATAAAGATATCCGGTGGATACTAGTAACAGCTCCTTTTCCTCCTAGACTCCACATCCTGCAGGGTATGGAGGTAGGTAGCTATCCTGGCTCCTCTTTCCTACTTCTGTCCACCCTATAAACCCCAGTCTGCTAAAATGCCCATAACTCATCTGCTGAAGTTATTACCCATTGCCTTTTTTATTCTGTCTTTGACTAACAATTTCACACATTGTTTACTGACTGCCCTTCTTTCATTACAACCCTCTTTTTATTATTATTCTTAGTGACTATAACATCAAAAATAGACAATCCACTCTGGCTTCTCAGGCACACAAATCCCCCATACAGACACGGCTGGGGCTTTTCCCTCTTGCTTGTGAACCAAATTCAGGCACACTGACAAAGTAGGCCAGTCAAAACTCAAGATGGTTTAAATCAATCATGGTGGACCTATTCTATGTTGCCAGTACTGGTTAAAAATTGAAAAGGTGGAGGGGGTGGGAGGTTGTGGGAACCAGGTGGTGGGTATTAGGGCACGGATTGCATGGAGCACTGGGTGTGGTACAAAAACAATGAATACTATTATGCTGAAAATAAATTTTAAAAAATGATTAAAAAAAAAAACACAAAAATTAAAAAAAAAAAAAATTAGGTATGTGACCTGGTGAGAACTATAGTCCCTTGATAAGAAGTCCACTAGGGGGCCTCCCAAATGGATGAAAGGAAGCAAGCCTTCTTTTGGTCTCCACATGTGTGCAGACATGATCTGGAATTTTGGCATATGGTAGAATCAGGAAAGGAAAGCCAAGAAAATCATAGAGAAGCTAACCTCACTATTGGCACTAACTTCTAACATCCTGAGATAACAAATCTGTATTATCTAAGAATTCTATGATTTGCAGCCCAAAACAACTTAACTGGTCTCCAGCAAAACCTGGAAACCTACTGGTCATACCCTAGACCCATGGTTCTCACCTTGTCTGAGCTTAGAAATGTTTATGTGCGTATGCAGCAGGGAGTGCAGGTGTTGAAACAGGTGTAGCTAGGAGATGGCTAAAGGTATTTAAGTGCCTGGGGACCAAGAGAGCTCAGTATCTTAGAAAATGTGAAAGTCTCCCTCATCAAAGAATCACCCTGCCCCGAGTGCTAGTAGTCCACCTACTGAGAAATGCTACTGTACACTTTTCCATTATTCAGTAACTGTACTTGGTTTCAAGTATACCATTCTCTATCTCTTATCTTTACAGTGTGCTTACTACTACAGCAACCACCTCGGTGATACTCATTCCCACCAAGAGAGCAAATCCACTGTCCTAATGTTACTCCGTTTTTCTCTTTTCTTCCTTATTTACCCAAGTTAGATTCCGAGGTCCATAACTACAATCCCTGCTTCACACACACACCTTCCATCTCTTTGCCTTCCTCTCCTCCATGACTCCCACCCTACAAGTCCCCAATCTTGGCAGACTCTGACTGTCTGACTTGTGCTCCCATCCGAGAAGCTGACAAAGAGGCTGAAGAACACACAGTCACTTCAAATTCATGTCTTCTGACATCCAACAGCTTGGTGACGAATGGCAGTCCTCAGCTGTGTCCCCAGACCATTTACTCTTCTCTTCTCTAAACTGACCATGTCACATATTCTCTTTTTCTCATCAAAAATCTGATATACTCTCCACCTTCCTCATTCTCAGCTGATGACCTTGCTTTGTATTTCATTTTGCCTTGGTCTCCTCAAAGTAGAATGTAAGCACTGCATGGGCAAGTATTTTTCTCATTTTCTGCTCACTGTTACATCGGCAGTCATGTGCAGAACAGGTCCTGGGCAGTGAGTGTTCAAGAAATGGCTGGTAAATGGATGAAGCAGCCTGACGTAAACCTGCACCGCTGCATGAAACCAGCACTAATACAAAAGCGCAATGATCCCACATTTTCACGGCGCTTGCTTGGTGCAAATGATAGCAGTCACACATAATGATAGTTTCTAAGAAACGTTCGGTAATATAAACATCAAAAAAGCTGGGTATACAGGAATTTCTCATTCAGAAAAGGAAGGAGTAGCAAGCACCAGGTCTCTCATTCCTGCCAGAAAAAGTAAAAATACATAACTTGCAACAATCTTATTTTTACAGAAATCACATATCTGAGAAAGCAAAGAGGAATAAGTACAATAGAACAGGAAGGCTCAGGCCATGCTGAGGCGAGAGGACTGGCAGCCACCTCTGACTTCTAAATTTTGCCTGATTCTGTGAGCAGGCTTAGACTCCAGGTTGCCTATATTAAGGGATCTCACTTGGGAATGAAAACACAGGACAACTTCTGGAGAATGAGTGGGGTTGCAGAAACTATTTGGAAACCTCGAGATCCCTAAATGTGTGGCACTATTTTATCATGATACATTTGTGGTACCTGGAGACTGCATGGGAATTTAGCAGCTTCTAAAACTCAGACTGAAGGCTCCTCCAGTATTAGAGTATTTCAGAAACAGTCTTGCCAGAGGAAAAGAGTCTGTCTGTCTCTAATACATGGCCAGTGTCCCAATCAACACATTTGTCAGATACCAAAATGGCAGGAGGTAGGAGGCTTCAGGGGAGAATAAATCTCCCACAGTTGTCGGAATGAGGAAGAGAGAACCCTAGCCAAGCTCTGTGTAGATCTCCCTTTGTGATATTTGAAACCAAATGTAGGTTGAGTCCAATGAAAACTGCAAACCAGCCTTGTCTTAGCTCCATTCCCGGTTAGAGCACCAAAAACTTGTGCTACAGCGCCACCTTCTGGACAACAAAAGAAAGGCTTCTGACTGACCACCCGCCTAACCCTTAGAATCCAAGGAAACAAAACCTTACCTAAGCAGGACAGGTGTTTGCTATTACAAATATGATAGCAGAGGTTCACTTCATGATACACTATGAAAAAAATCAGAGTAATGGGGTTTCACAAAAGGAAAAGGCCTATCCAACCAAACTCAAAGACACAAAACACTGTGTTCTCACTGATAAAAGATTCAAAATAGCAGTTATGAAAAATTCAATGAGCTACAAGTAAACTCAGAAGGGCAATTCAATGAATTCAGGAATAAAATTAATCAAAGAGGTTGAAATTATGAGAAAAGCAAACAAAAA